ACCCTCCCCTTGGAGTTTTCCCGAATCCGCCCCTGGTACTAATACATCAAATTTAAGGGGGGCACCTTGCTATTGGTGCCCCCCTTGCAGAATTCAAGGGGGGCACGGTGCCCCGGTGCCCCCCCCCCGTTCCGCCGCCTATGGGTGTTTGTATCGCTCTTCCATGTCTATCAAACATTATTGCCAAAAAAGCTGCCGGGGACCTTTCAGGGCCTGGGATGACCTCGGGGACATAATAGGGGTGACAGACCTGCAACTTGTCTATTCAGTATGTCAAGTGTACATACGTGTATCCCGATGTTTGAGAGTGTCTAGAATGGCGTTCGTCCAAAAGTGACGCCATTGAACTATTAGGTATTTGTCTTCCATTGACTGATAATGGAGAGTTTGTGAAATTGACCCGACCATTGATCACCGATACCGAAATTCCGATATGTGAATTTGTATAGATACTACTACTAATGTCAATAGCTGACAGTTTTAAAGCGATCGTTCAGTCGGTGTAGCTATAACGAGCTCTCTAACTTTGAACGGCCGTAGAAAGCCCCATCACAGCTTTTTTTCTGAGGTGAGGCCACTTAGCGTGACCTGATGACCTGGCCTTAGGCGACTTGGGTCTGGAATTATCCACAACTTGGGCGGAAAAGATGCATGAATTGGTGTCCACAAAAAAAAAAAGCGTTGCTCTGCGCCGTCGTTTTTTATATGTCTGCTAGAAATCGCAGGGAGATGGGTTGCCAAAACCCCCGGGCCAGCGCGGCTGAGGATCATTTCTCGATCCCGTCTTCCAATCCGTCACCAGTGTCATCTCGTCTCCCAATCCATCACCAGTGTCATCTCGTCTCCCAATCCGCCAGCAGTCGTCACCGCCAGCAGCACCGGACGAACGGCAGTCAACGAGAAGAACTGACCGAGAGAGAGAGAGAGAGAGAGAGAGAGAGAGAGAGAGAGAGAGAGAGAGAGAGAGAGAGAGAGAGAGAGAGAGAGAGAGAGAGAGAGAGAGAGAAGAGAGAGAGAGAGAGAGAGAGAGAGGGAGAGAGAGAGAGAGAGAGAGGGAGAGAGATCCTCCTCGAGTCATCACCTGGCTCAGAGGTCAGCAGTATTGCCGGCCCCGTGACCGCCAGTGCACCGTGCCTGCAGCCCCCCCCCCCCCCAGACGCCAGTCGAGATCACGCGACACAGGACATAGTACAACAGACATACCTTGTTCGGATTAGTAAAGCCGGGCTAGTCATCACGATGCATTAGCTATATCTGTACCGGGCCACATATTTCAGTGATAAAATGTCCGTTGGAGAGCTGCATGAAATGTTTGACCAACGCCGCGTTATCGAGCCCAACTCGTCTGTGCAATAGGCAGTGTCAACAGTACTGAAGAGGTCCCGGCGCGTCGCCACTCTAAACAGCGGCGGGGAATGCGGCTCCCTGCAATCGGCGGCGCACCTATCGTCTCCGTCGGCTCTCGACTATCGTCTGAGGGGCCCCTCCAACGGCCGGCACTGGCCGGAAGTGGTGTCTCAGGTCAAACTCGGGTCACACCTGTGTGACCTCTGGTGTTCCGGAACAGTCACAATTGTGACCCCGGGCGGACCACACGGCCTGTGTGAAGGGTGGAACAGTGGAACAGTGACCTGACGTGAATGAACCGCTGTATGACGTCATATCATACGGTGACGTCATAGTTAGGGATCTGGTCATTACGGCTACATTATCCGGGGCATGTCTGTACGTATAACGTGTCGACGACTGCTCTCTCTCTCTCTCTCTCTCTCTCTCTCTCTCTCTCTCTCTCTCTCTCTCTCTCTCTCTCTCTCTCTCTCTCTCTCTCTCTCTCTTCCCATCTATCTCCTCTTCTCCATGTTCTGATTTATGATGCTGATCTCTCTTTGTTTTCTTTTCAGAGACGGCGATTCACCAGACTTGAACAGAGACGTCACGGACGGAATAGCTCGTCAGCCGCAACCCGAACAAATATGACGTCATTAGTAGTCAGGAACCAACGTCACGGACGGAATAGTTCGTCAGTCGCGACCGGAACAAATATGACGTCATTGTTAGTCAGAACCAACGTCAACGTCACGGACGGGATAGTTCGTCAGTCGCGACCCGAACAAATATGACGTCATTGGTAGTCAGGAACCAACGTCACGGACGGAATAGTTCGTCAGTCGCGACCCGAACAAATATGACGTCATTGGTAGTCAGAACCAACGTCACGGACGGGATAGTTCGTCAGTCGCGACCCGAACAAATATGACGTCATTGTTAGTCAGAACCAACGTCACGGACGGGATAGTTCGTCAGTCGCGACCCGAACAAATATGACGTCATTGGTAGTCAGGAACCAACGTCACGGACGGAATAGTTCGTCAGTCGCGACCGGAACAAATATGACGTCATTGGTAGTCAGGAACCAACGTCAACGTCACGGACGGGATAGTTCGTCAGTCGCGACCCGAACAAATATGACGTCATTGGTAGTCAGAACCAACGTCACGGACGCGATAGGTCGTCATTTGCGACCCGAACAAATATGACGTCATTGGTAGTCAGGAACCAATGTCACGGACGGGATAGTTCGTCAGTCGCGACCCGAACAAATATGACGTCATTGGTAGTCAGGAAACAACGTCACGGACGGGATAGTTCGTCAGTCGCGACCAGAACAAATATGACGTCATTGGTAGTCAGGAACAGAACTTATGACGTCATACATAGTCAGTAATAAATATATTGTCAACACAAGTCTGATACAAAACTTATCATGTAATAACTAGCTGTAAGGAAATACAATGAAGTCGTCAACAATGAAGTGCTTACATGATGATGGATCACCACAAATAAAGAGCAAATAGGACATAGGTATCATGCCAAGCCCTCAAAAGTCGCGAGGAATTTTGATGACGTCTCCGAACAACAGCCCCCACAGCTATAATGACGTCACGAATAGTCACGAGAAAATGTGATAATGTTACAAAAGCCACAAGCAGCTATGATGAGAACCATGAATGTGTAGGTAGTCAATTTAAAACAAGACATACCAGAATAGCAATCTATGTCTTTCCTGGCTTTCTGAAGATTGTCCACCGATCAGAGCAGAAAAGCATTTGGAACTCACTCTTGTAACCGAGATTTCGAAGTTATGCTATAGCATAACTGTGCCGACGTCGTATACAACGTCGGCGCAAGCTATCGGCATAAAGTCAACAAAACGTAAAATGACGGACCTTTCGTCAACCCTGCCGACGCACGCTTGTAACGTTGCCATAGCGTCCTGACAACGTTGTATACCTACCATAACCCGCGCCCCGCTGGGCTATTCAGCCATACGCGCCCTGCTGGGGGGGGCAGATTCTGCCCCCCCCTGTCTAACTTCCGAACCGATGGTCGTAGAAAGACGGGGAAAACGGCAATCGAAAGCTCTCAACAAGGCGGATCTTAAGAGCCCAATTTTTTTTGCTTAAGTAGGTCAGAGGTCAGGTCAAGGTCAGGTCAAGGGTACAAAATGCAAGTTTCTACAGTATCGGCCTTGCACCGTAGTTGCCGAAGAATGGACTGAGACTGATTGCCCAAAACGTGTTCTTAGACTACCAAGACAATATTCGTTGCACACAATGTCATTCAAAGGTCAAGGTCAAAGTCAGGTCAGGTCAGGTCAGGTCACCAAAACCAAAATATAGAAAAGGGCATGTGCGACACATGTTTTATGGGTCATTTTACTCATGGAATTCAATAGGCACACTCAATAAGTGATATGGACCACCTCTGGATGAATTTCAGGTCGAGGTCAGGTCAAGGTCAGGTCAAGTGAGGTCAAATTTTGAAGTTGGTTGTTAAGGCCTAAAAAGGTGTCTATCCGATGCAGTTTTTCACGGCGAATCGAATGGTGCTATTTTTGTTTCCGTACGAGGTCTAGAACTTCCAAAAAAATCATTTTTCAAAAAATTTGTGTGTCGTGACGTCATAAAATTTTGAATAACTCCCACATTTTTGAACCGATTCTTCTCAAAATTGGTATGTAGGTGCACATAGACCACTTCTTTGACATATATTCCGGTTTTTTCGATAAACTCAAAATTTTGGATTTTATAAATATTTTCCCAAAAAAGTCAGTTTTTTGGAAAAATTTTGGCCAAAATCCAAAATTTTCAAAAAACCGAGATAGCCATTTGATAGACAAAGTAGAATCACGTATAACCTTTTTTGTTACGTCTTGATTCCTTTAAAAATGAAGAAGTTAGCGGCGTTTGAAATTTTGCCGTTTTTGAGGCGAAAATGGCGAACATGACGTCACTAAAACGTCAATTTCTCAAATATTTTCCGACGGATTTCGCTCAAATTTTCAGGGAACGTGTCAAATTGATGTATGATAAGGTACTGAAAGTTTGACGTCGCTGGCGTAACGCGTTTGGAAGTTATTGGCGAAAAACGGGAGGGGGGGCAGATTCTGCCCCCCCCCCCCAGCGGGGCGCGGGATAACTTACCGAAAAACAACGTTTTGACAACGTTGTACCAACGACACCCGTGAGCTGGACAGGACCCTGAAATCCAATGACGACTTCACTGTACCAAATTCTAGCAGCGCCCAATTTTTACGACCTTTGGGTCACTGACCTGACCTGTAAGATCAACCAATGAGCTAGGTCATGGACAAATCTGCGTAGAATCGGCCTCCTCTCGACACATAGGTACAATATGCTCGTTTTTTTTTTGCGAAGCTTTATTTTCGTTAGCAAAGTATCGCTATCCAACATTGTTATCTGCCGTTAACGACCCTTAATCTACTGGATATTGCCGAAAAACGGTAATGGGCAGATTCTGCCCCCCCCCCCCCCACCGGCGAGAGTCAGCGTAGCAAAAGAACGCATGAAAAAACGATAGAACTTGCATGTATTTATTGTGAGCAATCTCAAGCAGCAAAAGCATTATCATGTGAGTGAAGTGTAGAACTCTTGTCCTGTAAGAAAGCAAAAAACGCGTAGCTCATTTACCTTTCTCTGATACAGGTGTCCTAAAAGTATGTCTCGTTTGCATACTTTCGCGCTCATACATCATTCACACATTTGTAGACAATGTGGAAAAAGCCACTTATCCCTTATCCCTATCGCCGTGCATAACATCGGCACATAGCCATTAATTACACTTGTTTCGCACGTCAAACAGTTTCTATCACATTTACACCCAACAGCAAGTTTCACAGCACACGCCATGTGAATGTACAGTCTCTCACGAAAGTACCGATACACGTGAAATGTGAGGAGCGGATAACCGCCGCGCCGGCTAAACTCGCCCCGCCCCCTTCCTCCTCCAATCGTCACCCATCCCCAGGTCAGGCAGTTCGGTGTCCCTCAAACTTGACAGTCCTCCCTCGGTCGGGTTTGTTGACACCGCCGCACGGTGTATCGATACGAGACACTGAGCGCACTAATAACTATTCAGTTTTCACAGGCGTTCGAAATGTAAAGGACATATGGTGCGTTCATTCTATCGATTCCGTAGAAAAGGGTGCTCTAACGGATAAGGATAGATAAGGCAGCATTGACGATCATCTAACTGTGTATCTTATCCATATTTTTATTCCCTAAGTCACACAATCTCTACAATTGCTCACATCATTTGAATGATTTTCACCGAACAATCACGTCATTGTTTCTTATCATATATGATACAGGAAACGCATAAGCAGAAGCAGCATAGTAAGAACAAGCAGGCATTGTGTTCGACCCCACCGTGTTCACCCGGTGCTGAAGGAGCGCAGCTTCACCGGCTCCCAGTTGGAGATAAAGCCCGGCAGACTGTCGTCCCATTTGTCCGTCACCTCGGCGTCTTGTGATGCGCCAATCAGAAGGGTGAACGGGCCTGCCGGACGAGGTAGGTATGACGTCATTACTACGACTATTAGTTTGGGCTATAAGTAATGCCGTATTGCCGCATTCTTTTGTTAGCTTATATAGAAATACATTTTTAAATAAGTATGTCTTGAAAAAACAACCTAGCCTATCCTTACTTGTCCAAGCAGTATTGTTGACCATTTGTAATAAGAACATTCTCCTTCCACAGTGGATTGTCACATAGGCGCTCTCTCACGTGGGAACGTGAGGCGCACAGTGACGTCAGCAGAGGAATTAATGGAGTATGAAAATAAGTGACGTCATCACAGGTCTCCAATGACATCTATATAATGCAGTTTGGAGTATATACAAGTGACAAGAACAGACAAAATGACAAAACAGTGATGTCACTGAGACGTGGAACAAAGTGACGTCACGCTCACGGGAGTAGTACGGTAAGGCATCTCATCTCGGGCAGTGACCTTCAAGTCCACCGCTAAATGGTCAGAACTCAGACTTCAGAGTGTTCTATTTGTTCGCATTGCTTTCGCCTTTCTAAAATATTGGTCGCAACGACTCATCGCTTAGGTGCGTACTAATTGATGACAAAATGTTGTGATGTTAAATGTTCTACCCTCTGCCGTTGCCGTGTCATACTGATATCGCATGGTGAGGATACGATGGTGCTGCCACCTAGTTTGGAAAGTGCTGCCACCTGGTGTACTCACCGAGAATGATCACCGCTGATACCGCTGTGGGTGTCCGCGAGTTGTTACATGTGATAATCCCATCTAGTGTTTGGGGTTCCTCACAACCATGATGTTGCCGGTCTGAGACGGTATGCTCAGCTTGTCATAAACGGCTCCTGCGGATAAGACAACGAACGAGAGGTTACATTACAAATGACAACTCATACACAATGAGGAAAATTCTTCTCATGGTTCAAAATAAGTACGAAGTACGAACTAAACAAAGTTTTGTTTAATGTGATATGATATAACATATCACCAATTTGGGACTTCTGATGTGACGCCTCAGAATGGCACAAAACAGCACGGGTGAGCACATTGTGTCTCATGCAGTAACTAAATGCAAAAGTAGGTACAGCTATATCAACCAGACACAAATGGTCAGGTTGGATAGGTTCATTTATCTTCACAAGTCCGACACCAGTCACAAAACTGGTTGGTAGTATATATCTGCGTAAGCCCAATTCAGCACCAAAGACATGTAACAATGACAGTACCTACGTGAACTCTATGTAGGTACGTCCCGTGGTGGTGAACATGTCCATAACATCAATTCATACCACACACCGCGTCAGAGCTCAAGCCATACCAATTACCTACCTAAATACGAGTGACGTCATCTTACTATACTGGCTAACCTATCATAGGAATCAACTAGTGTTTGGTATTGTTCACACTCGAACAATCATTCACGCCACACATGAGGGTAGACTCATCTACATATGAATGGCATCACTATACTGTTTTATTAGTTGTGACGTCATATCAGCGTCATGTGTTCATCTCGACCCGTTGAGAGAGTATACGACAGCGGCTCCGAGAGGCCGGTGGCGCCGAGCCGTCTGTTGTGGGACTGATCAGAGGCGCTGGGCGGCGCCGTCACTTACCTCGGACTTGGAACCTCAGTGCTCTCGGCGTGCCGTCATCTCTTTTCCCCAGGTCTGCCCGGACCAGGGCGTCCAGGACCCTCTGACTGAGGTCCTCCGTTGCGTAAAAGAGCAGCTCCTTCAGTTTCCGACAGGTAACCACCAGTCTGCGACAGCACAGGACACAGGCCAGTCAGCGACACCAGCCGGCCGACCGGCCGTCTGGAAGGGACGGGTCCGGTCTCCACAGGACCACAAGTCCAGTCCGGTTCGGCCCCGATGCCCTGCGTCAGCTAATAGCTATAGTGATTGCTAACTACTATGGGTCTGTATGCTCGTTATAGTGACAATAGCCGTTTTCACGACGGGCTATCCAGCGAATGCACCTAGTTTGACCAAATCTGCAACTTATCTCTTTATCAGCGAATATCTTCATGTTATGAATTTATTTCAGTGTTTAAATTGATAAAACTCACTGATAATATAACAAAGCAGGCATATAAGCAATTAGGACAACCCTAGCTGAAAGCTGCTAAGAGACACACTGAGCCTAATTTGACCAAATCTGCACCTAATGTGCACCAAATGTGTACCAAATGTGTACCAGATGATGGCCGCCATGACAAGTAAAACGGCTAATACATACCAATACCAAGGCTCGAAGCACAATGTATTGTAACAGTGAACACACTACACATGCAGACAAGCGGTAGCATGCATTGGTCCCGTCTAGCCAGAACTGGTTTGAGTCTGGTGTGGTCTGGTTCTGGTCTGGGTCTGGGTCTGGTCTGGGTCTGGGTCTGGTCTGGGTCTGGTCTGGGTCTGGTCTGGGTCTGGTCTGGGTCTGGTCTGGGTCTGGTCTGGGTCTGGTCTGGGTCTGGTCTGGGTCTGGTCTGTGTCTGGTCTGGTCTGTGTGTACAGCTGACTGACCTGCTGACCGCTGTGACCGGTATATCCGTACAGAGTCCACTGGGATGTCCCAGCTGCATGTTACGCAGCTGGGAGCAGCCGTGGAGGGCGGCCAGTGAGGCGTCAGTGATGGCGCCGGACAGAGAGCCGCAAAGTGTGACGTCTTCCAGGCCGGTGAGGGCGGACAGCAGCCTCTGTAGGGCCCCGGCAGTGACACGCGGGCAGTCTGGGAAACACAGACACATACAGATATGGTAGGTGAATGGCGTGGGAGCTGCTACGCTACTCGCTAGCACGTGCTGAGACATAGCCAGGTATGACACTACATGCTGCATACGAGCTAACTGTTAATATTGAGCAGTAAATAGTGATAATGAACACATTTAATATTATTTGTATGTATATTTGTGTATATGTAAGTACGCATGCATGTATGTATGTATGTACAGTTTATGTATGTATCTGCAAAGAAGTAGCTATACACGCATGCATGTATACCTATATGTATATGCATTCTGTGTACAAGTAATGATGCCTACTAATGAAGAGCTGCCAAGCAGACAATGAAACAACACATCCACATAACTGGTGATTGGTGATTGGTTATGCATTTATATGGAGCACTCACCACAGGTCGCCAACACCATGTTGGCGACAACACTTCCACACACCCCACGGAAATGAATACCTATCGACGCATCCGGCATATCCGTCATTTACATACATATAATATACCAAATATACCAGCAAAAAGTATCTGACATGACTTTTACTCTGATCACACTCCCTGTTTCACCTCTCCCCGAACGGTGTTACCGTGCTCAGTTAGGTATATGGTGTTCGTCAGTATACCTAACCACACGTAACGATAACCCGTCCGTGCCACCGCCACTCACTGAACATGTGCAGCGCGGTAACCCGTGGTCCCAGCTCCTTGGCCAGCTGGTTGATGACGTCATCTCCCGCCTGTTGTATGACTACATCCAGCCCATGGTCGAGCGGTCTGGTCCGTGTCACCGGCTCCCCCGTCTCCCCCGGTCCTGTCGGAGAGAGAGCTGTGTCAGCTGACTGCAGTCGGACGGAGCTGCCGCCGGGATGGGAGGCCGCTGATACTATGGTATCTAACAATGATACAGCCGATACTGACACAGACACAGGAGAATCGTCACTGATAGGAATGAGTTTGGCAATGTCTGTTGTATACAAGCACACATATTGTTATACCTACATAGCTCAGCATGGACCATGAACTATGAACAATAGAGATTGAACACTATCGACGATGCTGTCAAAACTATCTGTATTGGATTTCAGGCCATGATCAACATAACGCGTCGGTTTCCTATGATCATTTGTAGAGCATGTGTTCTTCAAAACAACGTCTATCAAAATTTTGACCAGAGTTACAGTGAATAGGTACGCATTACACATTTTTTCTGTGATGATGCCATTGCCCGCTAAAATACTGTTTTTGTGTGTAGATTAATATTACATTGCATATGGTATCGGAGCGGCTAAAAATTACAACCTACATGCATGGCTGCAATCGCAATACCTACTAAGCGCTGTCCTCACCACACAGTAGTGTGATTAGGTACAAGTTTCATCAATGACATCTCACCGTAAACGTCCAGGCGCCTCAAGGACGGCGGCAGCAGCCGCAGCCACCGTCCCGTCGAGTCAGGAGGAGTGGAGACCGTGAGCTCCTTCAAGGTTTGGACTTGGAGGGACTCCAAAATCGCGATCACCTGTTGCTCTACTAGACCAGGTGGAAATGTGAACTGCTTCACAGTCGAGAGTTCCTGCTTCTGGACTGTGACTACACTGGTCGCAGGTGATTGGCTCGATGTCCGCTTCGAGGCGTCACTGGCCGCAGGGAATTCGCTCGATGTCCGCTTCGAGACGTCACTGTCCGCCGGCGACTGGAGCCCTCTCTGTGCTGCGTCGTTGATGCTGGGTTCTGTAGATGGACTGCAAAAGCAAACGAGAATAACGTTGAGGGTCCATACATAAAACTCGCACCTAGATTGAGAGGGAGCAATCAGGTGAACCCAATCGGTTTTTGACAAATAACCTTCGCCCCAGTGGGGGGCAGGCATATGTTACCACCCTGTCGCGTTTTTTGCGTGTGAATAAAAAACCGCGGCGCCTAGCGCCGCGCAGCTTGGGGTAGCTTTTGGTACATCAATTTTGGACAATGTGTGAAATTTTTGACCCCAGGTCATGTCAGGTCAGGTCACCAGGTCAAGTTAACTGACCAAGCCTAAAAAAGCTTGCAATCCTGTCCAACCTGCAGTGTTTGTCAGAAAGGTTTTAAACTTGGTGGATTGCATGATGTTATAGGCGTATATCTCACAATTTGTATATCTCGGATTTTTTATATCCGTGACCTAAGGTCAGGTCAGTGGCGTGACCTTTCCATTACAAGTCAAAGGAGAAAAATGAAAATTCCTCTAGATCCGTGTGTACGCATAGGAACAGTCCAAATATTTCAGAATCACAATGATTTAGACCACTCGTGATGACCAAGGTGTCATTTTTGCTGATAGCCTCTAGAAAGGTCATCCGATGTCATTAGAGGCTACAAACAGTTTTTTGCCAATAACTCGCGATTGGAAAGAGATAGAACGCTGGGGATGGTCTCATTGTGTTTATCTTGTTGAGACGCATCAACTGATATGAAACATGACCTTTTCCGGTAAGGTCATGACCTTGACCTGAGGTCAAATTTTCAAGTTGACCTTTCAAGGTCAAATTATAGTTCATTCGACGCGTCTCGGCGAGGGGAACACGATTCTGGCAATAGAAATGTCGTGGCTTTTTGGAGTCGAAAGTTATTGTCGAAAAACCCTTTTCGTAAAAACAGCTATTTTTGGAGTGTTTGCCCTCTGGAGGCTAAACCGTTGACCTGAGGTCAACTTTGATTATGACCTTATCAAAAGAATAGTTCAAAATCTATCGATTGCTTTTCAATGCGTTTTTCTAGCTACCATAGTTCCTGAGATAGCGGCATGTTTTCTGAAAAATATAATGACAATTGACAAATTTTGACCTTTAATGACCTCTGGTGACCCCAATATTGCTCTAAGGTGAAAAATGACTGAAATACTTTCAAACGTACGCATTGAGAGCTATCGACTGCTTTTTACCGCGTCTTTCTAGCCCTCTTAGTTTTTGAGTTAGAGGTGGGTGGTAACATATGCCGCCCCCCCCCCCCCCCCACTAGGGCGAAGTTCGCTGAGACCGCCACTGGGGCGCGGGAAAACTATAGTTCGTTTATTTTAACCCGCGCCGTGCTGGTGGCCTGAACTTTCCGCCGAGTGCTGGGGGGGGGGGGCGTTTTCACGCCCCCCCGTCTAACTCGGCTCCTTGGCCACGTAGCGACACGCGGTAAGCGGCAATCGAAAGAGCGTCAAAAATAAGGACGAAAACACATTGGTCATTTTTTGGGTCAGGTCAAAGGTCAGGTCACCAGAGGTCACCAAAGGTAAAATGTTGACTATTTCAACATTTTGGAAACTGCCAACGGCTATCTCGGGAACCGATAGAGCTACAGCGCCGCGGAAAAGCGCATTCGATAGCCCTTTTACAGACCTTTCTGATTAATGTTCTCAGATTTGACCTCAGGTCAACGGTTTAGCCTCCAGAGGGCAAAAACTCCAAAAATAGCCGTTTTTACGAAAAACGTTTTTTCGTCAATAACTTTTGACTCATAAGCGCCATGACATTACTTTTGCCAGCATCGTGTTCCTCTCGTCGAGACGCGTCGAATGAACTATTTGTTGACCTTGAAAGGTCATTTTGAAAATTTGACCTCAGGTCAGGGTCATGACCTGACCGAAAAGGGTCATGTTGCATATCAGTCGATCCGTATCGTCGAGCTGAACACATCTGACGTGTTTTCACCGCTCTAGCACGTCTCTATCAAAAGTTATAGCCAAAAAACTGCTGGCGACCGTTCATGACCTGAGATGACCTCAGGGGCACACAGAGGGGTCACAGGTGCATTTTTCCTATTCAGTGTGTCATGTTTACCTATGAACCGATGTTTGAGAGCGTTTTGAACGATATTCGTCCAAAAGAGGCGCATTTCAATTTTCTCCCATTGACTTATAATGGAGAGGTCGCAAAATTGACCTGACCTTAGGTCACAGATATCAAAAATCCGAGATATAAATTTTATACATACTGTTACTCATATCAATCGCTGAAAGTTTCAAAGTGATCGTTCAGTCGGTGTAGCTATAGCGAGCCTTTGAACTTTTTCTGAGGTAAGGTCACTTGACGTGACCTGGTGACCTGACCTTGAACGGCCTAGGTCTGAAATTTTCACACCATGTGCGGAAATGATGTAGGAACACTAGTACCAAAAACGGCGGCGCTGCGCGCCGCCGTTTTTGAGATATTCGCGAAAAACCTGAGGGGGGGGGGGCGTAAAAACGCCCCCCCCCCAGCACGGCGCGGGTTAAGTTTGCCCCTCACTGTAAACATCTTTTTGAACACAGCAGTAAAATTGCTGGCTGAATTACTGAGACATCTGGTTGATGCACATTGATTTAACACGCGCAGTGGAAGGGGGGGGGGGGCGGATTTCGCCCACCCCTCCTGTTTTTCGCCAATAACTCGCGCCGCAAGCATAATATCAATGTGAAATTTCGGCTACCTGTCCAGAATTGAATTGCGGATCTTCTCGTGCAAGAAGTAAGAAAATCGGTTCACAACTTTTCTAGTAATAGCGGTGTAAAGTCAAACATCCTGCCGCCGCGGCGGCGCGGCGGCGCGGCGGCCGGCGCTAGCCGTTACGCGCCGCCTGAATTGTAGGCTGTGCCGGGGCGGGACGGTTCCGTCTTTACATCGCGCTCCTTACCGCTGATTATATTAGATTCGCGTCAAATTCTGTGAGAAGACTGAGAAATGTACGGGCAATCATATAGTCAAAGAATTTTGAATATCGGCCGGTAACAACTTGAGTTATGAGTGTGTAAACACAAAGTTGTGATTGCCGCGTTTCCCGCGTCGGCCGATGCCGCTTCAGCCGGCGACATCTTATCCTTAGCAGGCTTCTAACTGCCATATTTATTGTTGGATTATCTAGAAATTCACCATACATACTAACAAATGTTTGTTCTTTCGTATAGTGAAAGATTTTAAAAAATCGGCCGGTAACTTTTTGAGTTATCGGCGTGCAAACGCAAAAAAAGTCGCTAATATGGCAGATTTGACCACTTTTGACCTCATTTGACCTTGAAGATATTGACCTAGGGTCATGAAATTCACACACAACAGAGTTCCCCATGGCCCCCACCTACCTTCCAAATTTCGTCTTTCTAGCTCCAGTGGGAGCTGAGATCTTAGGGGGGGGGGCGACATCCGCCCCCCCTTCCACTGGGCGTAGTACTCGCAACCCTTCCACTGCGCGTGTTAACAGACGATCAACTTTATCAAAATTATTTCTACCTGGCGCCTACTTCCCAGACTCGTAGCTCGTATTTGCCCTTATTTACCCCCCCCCCCTCCCCCCGGGATAGACGACTTCTCAGGAATTATAACTGAACTAATAAATAAATCACACGGCGTGTAACATAACAGGGCCTTGGCTAACATGTTAACTGCTGGTAGAGTTAAGGAATGCCCCAGTAGTGGTCAGGCTTTGCCCAACATTCACAAAAAGATCATATCTTAAAGGTAGACTGCCACCTTTTTTCCAGAAAACGGTTTTCACTAGAGCTGAGCCACCTATGTCCCAGACTGAAGTCGGTTTTCCGAAATTCGAACCCGTTTGCGAGAAATCGGAGACCAAAGTTCAGTTTGATGCCATTTTTTTAGTCCAAGAAAACCGACATCTCTACTGTTTATCGATAACTTTGAAACATGAATTTTCTTATCTTTTGGTAAATATATGTCAAAACTTTGATTGTTTCGAGATCAGAGAAGAATTTTGGAGTGTCAAAATAAAAGTTAAACTTAAATATTCAGTAGTTCATTTTTCCAAAAAAGTGTGGGAAATGGGGTTTAACCCGCGCCCTGCTGGGGGTCCTGGATTTCCACGCCCTGCTGGGGGGGGGGGGTGTTTGAACACCCCCCCCTTGTAACTCGGCTCCTGGGCCACGTAGCGATACGCGGAAGGCGGCGTTCGAAAGAGCGTAAAAAATAATGACGAAATCACTTCGGTCAATTTTTTTGTCAGGTCAAAGGTCAGGTCACCAGAGGTCATTGAAGGCAAAATTTCGCCGATTTCCAGGTCGAATGTAGAAAATTTCCAAGAAGCCAACGCGTAACTCGGGAACCAATAGAGCTACAGCGCCGCGGAAAAGCGCATTCGATAGCCCTATTAACGCCCTTTCTGAGTAATTCTCTCAGATTTGACCTAACGTCAACGGTTTTGCCTGCAGGGGGCAAAAACTGCAAAAATAGCCGATTTTTTCGAAAACAGTTTTTCTGCAATAACTTTTGACCTAAGCCTTGTACGAGCTTACTTTTACCGGCATCGTGTTCCTCTCGTCAAGACGCATCGAATGAACTATGACTTGACCTTGAAAGGTCAACTTGAAAATTTGACCTCAGGTCAAGGTCATGACCTGACCGGAAAGGGTCATGTTGCATATCAGTCGATCCGTATCGTCGAGCTGAACACATCTAAGGCGTTTTCATCGCTCTAGCATGCCTCTATCAAAAGTTATTTGCGAAAAACTGTTAGATACCATTCGTGACCTAAGATGACCTCAGGGCATAAACAAGGGTCACGGACACCATTTTCAAGTTCAGTGTGTCTAAACCACTTGTAATTCGGTGTTTGGGAGTGTTTATAATGTCTTTCATCCAAAAGAGGCGCATTTCAATTTTCTCCCATTGACTTATAATGGGGAGGTCGCAAAATTGACCTGACCTTAAGTCATCGATATCAAAATTCTGAGATATACATTTTGTACATGCTATTGCTCTTAGCAATCGCTGAAAGTTTCAAAGCGATC